TCTGTAGTGTCAGACAAACTGCAAGTAACAGCAAACCTAATTCACCCTGTACTAAAGAATATTTTTATCTACAATGGGTCAAAAACAGTAATTCAACATGTCATCAAGAGCTCTGATTCTTTTTTTTTTTTTTTTTGAGAGAGAGTCTCACTCTGTTGCTCAGGCTAGAGTGCTGTAGCATCAGCCTAGCTCACAGCAACCTCAAACTCCTGGGCTCAAGCAATCCTTCTGCCTCAACCTCCTGAGTAGCTGGGACTACAGGCATGTGTCACCATGTTCAGCTAATTTTTTCTATATATTTTTAGTTGGTCAATTAATTTTTTTCTATTTTTAGTAGAGACGGGATCTCGCTCTTGATCAGGATAGTTTAGAACTCCTGACCTTGAGTGATCCTCCCGCCTCGACCTCCCAGAGTGCTAGGAATACAGGTGTGAGCCACCGCGCCCAGCAAGAGCTCTGATTCCTGCTTCCTTTCCATTCTGCCATCCCCAGTGATAGAGATATGCCAAGACTGGTTTATCTTGTCATCATAATATAATTATCACTTTACTTTCCACTGTCATGAACAGTGAATAAAGAAAGTGAGACCCTCACATGCTAATGCAATAGAAATCTTTCCTTTGGGTCTGATTAAGTCAATTTAGTTTACATGCAAACTCTTGAAACAAAGACTGTCTTTATAAGTTATCATGCACCGTGTTTGAATTAAGCCATGGGTCCTCAACCAACTATCATCAAAATGGGATCAACAAGGCTATAATAGGCTAATCTAACTTTACTCCTGGGGTCCACCTCTGAGTCATACATGGGCCTTTCAGAGGAAAAATGATTACCAGTTCAATGCTTTTATAATGCTAGGAAGGCAAGAAATCAAAGGCTGAATGTGGAAAACAAAACTAAGTGGTCCATTGAAATAAATTCAAACATTTATTCAAGAAGACTTTTCCTATCTCCTTACCACTACTCATCCATGTAGGACTGAAAATAATTTATTCCACTGAAATTCTAACTAATGCCTCATCCATGACCATATACATGCATAAACTCAAGTTTCCTCTTCTGTAGTGCAAACCCTTTTGCATGTGCATCGACATCAGGCCCTTCTCACACTGCCCTATAGGAAATTTGGGCATGACAGACAAATATAAAGTTGCCTCATAAGTAAATAACAGATCTTTTCTCTGATACAGGAATTTCATGTTTCTTATCAGGATAAATAAATAAATAAATAAATATAGCTATAAAAACTTAACCATTTTGTTGATGAGTATGAGATATGCTTGCACACCTCACTCACAAAAAAATGCTATGAATTTCACATAGGAGTGGCTATAAGTAACATTTAACTATTTAAAGGAATACTACCAGTAAACTATGTAGCCCTCAAATGACTGTGGAGAGCTCTTCAAAATAAGGATATACTCTATTCCTTGGGGAAATTTCCTAGAGGTATAACAGATAATTATTATTATATGGGAGCAGTTTTAATCATAAGAAAGATATTCAATTAAAACAAAACCTAGTTCGAAATTTTTCAGTGCTTTAGACTTTTTCTTGCAGGTCAAGATTGCATTCGTGCAATCACTGCTGTATACTGCCATGTCTGGATCAATACCTTGACCCAGGTAGGAAAGTCCACACAGAAATTTAAGGAGAATGCTACCTGGCTTTCTAAGAGGCATTGATGGTTTATAGGATTTATTCAGCTGGCTAGATTATGGAACTGAAATGAGTACTGCCGGTTTGTTTCATCCTGCTGCTCTGAGTCCTGCTGATAATAGTGTTAATTAAGTGCTGTATAAGACAAACTGAATAGATTTGTTCCTAGCCCCATCATTCATATTAATCAGAGTGGTCAAATCAGTAATACATAAATGGAAAATTCACCAGAAATCAGACCACACAGACTCAAGAGGTGGAACTACTAGAAACTATGCTCATGAATATTTTCTCATTCTGAATGATCAGGACTTTCTGATGAAAAAAAAAATCTGCTAATCTGAGTTAAAATGCAATTGGATTGCCACCCTAAAAAAGTAAGACTCTTGGAGAGAGTTGAAGCATTTTCGTCTTAACCATTTGTTTAATTTAGTGGTAGCCAAAATACAAACCTTACCCTCTCCTCAGATAAGATTCATTTATATTCCAAAGCAAAGGTTATACTCCCTCCTTTTCTCTCTAAAAAGGAAAGATGGACTGTTTTACCAGCTGTCTTAGACAATCTCCAAGATGAAAATTTTTTTTTTTTTTTTTTTGAGACAGAGTCTTACTTTGTTGCCCAGGCTAGAGTGAGATGCAAAATTTTAGTGTCCTCCTGTTGTACAAACCCCATCTCATGCTCTGGCCGTCATGTGCAACCATGCCAGGAACTGAGGCATATAAAGCACTGAAAGCTGCTTTGTGAGTAAATAAATGATCTGATTCTCTATCCTGATGCCTCTGTCAGTGTGTGTATATGTACATAAGTGTACATGTGTGCAAATATCATATATATATATCTATATGTGTGTATATACACACACACACACATACATACAGACACATGAACCTCTATATCTATCTGTTCATATAAGGTAACATCTTAGACATTTCAGTTTCAAATTCAAACCAAATCAAATTCCACTGCTATAATTTAGAATACCAGCAGTAAATGTAAAAACCCAATTCATACTATGTTTTTCTAGTCATGTCATGTCCACTACTGCAAATTGAATTGCTATCATTATTCTAGTCTAAGTATTGGAAACTCTTAATGGGGCTACATTTTAAAATTATCGAAGTTAATCAACACAGGGAAACACAAGGGGGCTAACACTTTCTAAATGACTCTTAAATGAAAATTCTCATTACAATTATGCATTTTAATAACATTCTTATATCCTCTTAATAAATATTTGTTCTTCAGGGGTATAAACAATTTCCATCTGTGTAAATCTTCCTGAATTAGAATCTCTCCAGCATCATCATAAACTTTACCTGTGTACTTTGTTAAAAAGACCCTTGATGTTATGATGCTATATAATTTCTAAAAAGACACAATTTATTTGTGATTCTTAAGATAAAAATGGTCTTCATGAACAATTTCAATGAATTCTCATTCTAACAACTAATAAATATTTTGCTTTTAAAATTATGTCCAGGTTTGATTCTGACTTCAGTGTACTGATGATACAAATAAATATATTTTATTATAGACAGCTTATAGACCGGTTTATCTTTGTCTACCCTCTGAAATAAACTGAGAGAGATAAGGCAGTAAACTATTTAGTAGCTGGTGGCAGCTGATACATAAACTTACATTTATCGGCTGGCAAACATAGCAATTATCAATCAGTACCAGTAAAATTATGTATGCTAGTTACTGGACTTAGTAATATTAACAAAAATCATAGACTTATTAGTTAAAAATTAAGGAAGAATGATTACATTGTTTGAAATCCTTATATCATTTTGATAATCAAAACTTTAAGAGTAAAAACTAACAAAGCCTTCTTAATAGCTACCTTATTCTATTTAAATATATCACCAAAAACATTTAACTGTTACGTGCTAGTAATGGTGATAAAAATATTAGTGACTAAATATTTGTATAGAAGAATTTCCTTTCATTGATTTCCCCCTTCTCAGTCTGATTCAGCAGGTTGCTACATTGACATGTAACTTGCCTGCCATTGTTTTTATTACTGTCCTATCCCATTTGATACTGGGATTAGGTTTTCATCCATATAACAATTTTCTTCGTCTGTCTTTCCCTATCCACTGATGACAACTGTTCCAATTAAGAGCAGTATTGGTTCCCAATAGCTGGAAAAAGGTTTATTCTTTATTTTATTTTTTTTATTTTAGGATATTATAGAGGTACAAACATTTGGTTACATTTTATGACTTTGCCATAGAAAGAGGTTTTTATTGGGCAGTATTTACATCTGAGTCATATCACACAATTTAGGTCATAGAGTTAATCGAAACACTATATCAAAAAGTCCCCAAACAATAAATGTTGGCATGGATGTGGAGAGATAGGAACACTCCTACACTGCTGATGGACTGCAAACTAGTTCAACCTCTGTGGAAAGCAATATGGAGATACCTTAAAGCGATACAAGTAGATCTACCATTTGATCCAGTTCCACTACTGAGCATGTACCAAAAGATCAAAAGTCACTTTATGAAAAAGACACCTGCACTCGAACGTTTATAGCAGCACAATTCACAATTGCAAAGTTGTGGAAACAACTCAAGTGCCCATCAATACATGAGTGGATTAATAAAATGTGGTATATGTATACCATGGAGTACTACTCAGTTTTAAGAAACAATGGTGATATAGCACCTCTTGTATTTTCCTGGATAGAGCTGGAACCTATTCTACTAGGTGAAGTATCTCAAGAATGGAAAAATAAGCACCACATGTACTCACCAGCAAATTGGTATTAACAGATCAACACCTAAGTGGACATATAGGAATAACATTTATTGGATATTTGGCAGATGGGAGGGGGGAGAAGAGGATGGGTATATACAAACATAATGAGTGAGATGTGCAACATTTGGGGGATGGTCACACTTGAAGCTCTGACTCGAGGGGTGGCATGGGCAATATAAGTAACCTTAACATTTATACCGCTTTAATATGCTGAAATAAAAATAAAATAAAATAAAATTTATGCAAATTCCTAATAATTTGGGGGGAATTATATGTTTATTTTACTATTCAGAAAATATTTGATTTAGCAGGCTAGCCTCATGCTCCAATTTGTAATATTCCAAAATCATATTAGGTATGAACTCTTTGAAATATTTTAGAAAGTTTAGATTTTTCTGTAGCTTGTTTAAAACAGAACTAAACAACAAAAAATGCTATCTTGCTCCCCAAAAATCCATTGCTTTTTTTTGTTTTGTTTTGTTTACAGCCTGTCTTAAATTCTAATTATTTTTGAGATGTTGAAATTATCCTTCAGCTAGGCTTGCATTAATAAAATGAGTGGCCAATTACTTACGGTTACACCTTTCATAGGACCATGCACAGGCTTCTCGACCCTAGGGATGCTCGCTGAGTGATTGGATTGAATAAACTTAAACTTGCCAGGATGAGTTTCTCAAATTATACTTGCCTCTTCGTAGTATTACTGTGAAAGTAAGACATATTTGTTTATTGATTTTAAACCAAACATCTACCAGTCATAAACAAGAACTTACCAATGACGGGCTCTGATTCAAAGAACAAATAGTTATGAGATATCTTGATGAACTACACTGCTAATTATCAAAGGAACTATGCTATGCCTTTTGGTTTATCTGCAAGTTTTGAAATTAATATTCTTCTTATTCTCATAATTATAACACATCAATTTTCTTTATTCTCATTTAGCATAATCTAATATGACTAATATCTTAATAACTTTCATAATAATTCATTTTGGAACCTACATATATAATCATTCTCTTTAGGAACAAATTTTCACAACTTGGGTTAGCATTTACTTCTGTTATTTTTTGGCTTCAAACTGCCATTAGACTATTTAGTAATAGACACGTGGGGTTTGATGCCAGTCAGTCATGCAACACTGTGAATTTATTACATATGGAGCATACTTCTCTCTTATTTTAAATGGTATATAGGTTTAGTCTGTGCTTGCATTTATTAAAATGTTTTAAACAAAAGTAAATCATCACTATAGTCCATTTTGACATCATTACCACATACAACCTCATAAATTTTTATTTATATACTTTTCAAAGTATAGAATGCTTGAGCTCACTGAACCAAAGCCATTTATGATATATTTATTCTATTTGGACTAGTTACTGTTGTATTGACACTTAGGAAACAGTACAGTAGAAAGGCTGTAAATATAACAGGTTTTATATGGTGATATTCTACTTTGGAGATTTTCTCTTTCTGTTGAAGTCAAACAGAAAAAAAAAATAAAATAAAACTGTAAATGAATATTAATTAAATACATTTATTAATACATATCAATTGCCTGTACAGAAATCACAACCTTGCCACCAAGCACACATCCCTAAAAAGAAAGGACCATGGTCATCTAAGAAACATGGGGAGAGAGATGTGAGGATAAACACACTGAGACTACTCCTTATTAGCTCTGAACACTGGGTGAATATGGAAAAACTGCATATGAGTATAAGTAAGAAGGTGGATATATACAAAGCCTAGCAAGAAATATTCAGCAAATGAGTCTTTCCACAGTTTTACTGTCAGGGAAAAGCACTGCTTACAGAAACCAAATTGTACCACACAGGAATACAGAGGGTAATAGATAAAAGAGCATCAGATAGCTGACATAGGGGACTCAAAAGACTTAGATTCTGTTTTGAAATTGTCAAACATTCTTGATCAAACTTGACTTTAAAGGACAGTGGTTATTTTAGAGAGATTATATTTTGAATCCTTTCTGGGAACCAAAGTAGAGAATGTTTTTAAGCTACGAAGCCAAACACTATCATAGCACATATTCCACTATAAAAGTGTTCACCAACAAACCTAAACAAATTCTTCACATTTATCCATGGGAATCAAAAAATACAATCTAAACCTCTTAAAATTAATAATTTATAAAACCAAAAATGAGCCAAGTGACATTCCAACAGAAAATAAAAATACACCAGAAAATGAGGGCATAAAACATGGAAATACTATCTTAATGTATCATAATAATCTCAGAACAAAGTACTTAACAGGAATAGAAAATAGTTTAAGTGGTATGGCCAGTCAAAATTCACACACCTGTCATTTCTAGAGTGTTAAAATGAACAAAATTTAGTAAGATTACAGAAGACTTGAAAATATTTAGTGAACCTATGTAAAACATTAAAACATAATAATGAAAGTATACTTACTTTTGAAGTGCTATGGGGAATTCAGAAAATGTATTCATATATTAAGTCACAAATGAACGGTAAATATGTTAAGAAAATAGAATAGTCTTTTTTAACTCAATAGAATAAAAATAAACATTCATGGCAACAAAAAATTTGTACAGAAAGTTTTCTAAAATATCTATTAAAGGTCTGTTGGTAAAAATGGAAATACAAAATAAAATTATATCATTTTTACAGAACTCACATTAATGATCAAACCTATCAGCATCTATGTGATACAGTTAAAGTGGTGCTACTGACACTGATTGAATCCATGCCTCAACTTGCTTTTTATTAACAATGTCTGTCTTGGCTATTGTCATGTCCACAGTGGGTAAGGGGGCGTACCTAGCATGCACTAATCAGCCAGTGACCATATGGAGTTCCTGATTATTTTTATAATATAGAGTAGAAGTAGAGATACTAAGAAAAAATATTACGAAATAATGATGGTGATGGAAGGATATACATACCAGAAAGTAAAACCTTCTATAAAATCATACTATTTGTTGTTATTATGATAGTTTTAGCATCATAACATTATAATTAAAGTGATTAGTATTATGATACTATTATTATGATATCATAATACTATGATACATACAAAGGAGTTTGTATGAAATATACATATATGATAAAGGTGACATTTTGAGAAACTTTGAAATGATCTGGGAATAAATACAGGTAGTTTCTCACATTAATCCAAATATAAATACTACTTTGAGAAGGACTAAGAATTCAAATAAAATAATAAAATAAAAAATATCAAATTAAATATGAGTATGTTTTTATAAATTTGGGGCAAGAAACAATTTCTACAGACATGAATCCCAAAGTATATATATATTAGTATATATATATATACTAATGCTTTTTCTGCATCTATTGAGAGGATCATATGTTCTTTGTTTTTGCTTCTATTTATGTGGTGAATTAATTTATAGACTTGTGTCTGTTGAACCATCCCTACATCTCTGGGATGAAGCCAACTTGGTCATGATGGATTATGTCTCATCTTACTAAATACATACAACTATCCTATGAGATAGACTCTCCAATTATATAATATAAGCACACTGAGGCTTAGGTTAAGTAGTTTGATCAATGTTACACAGTAAGTAATGTTAAACTAACTTTGGTCTGAGAATGCCTCTGTACCTTGAGTCCTTACATAACAAACTGCAACTAACTTAAACAAACTGAAAGCCTAATTTATGGGGTGTTTTTTTTTTTATAACAACTACCAGAGTATCAGCCATTCACAGCAGCCAAGTTTTCGCCAATCATAACCTGCCGACTGATTAGACTATGTTCAAAGAAAGCAAACACTTAACTGTAACCAGTCAAATTGTTTCTGCACTTCATTTTCCTTTTTCTGTGCACAAATGTGACATGCCCACGTTGTAGAACAGAGCTCTCTTCACCTCTTCTAGTTTTGAGGGCTGTACAATTTGCAAATTTTTTTTCTGAAACTCTGTTAAATTTATTTTGTCTAATATCATTCTTTTAACAGTAGTAACTTCAGGATTATAATCCAAGCTTGTACTATTCTAAATAAAACACTTTTTTAAAGTTGAGCACTACATTTAATATGAATTTAAATACTTTTTAATACAATTATTGGCATTTTTAAATGCATCTGGAAGTAATATTCCTCAAGATTGTTTTTGCAGTCCCTCTAAAACATATGCCTTCTTGACATCCAATATTTAAAATCATGATATAGTATGTCATGTTTTCATTCTTTCATGCATTCTTTCATCCATTGTCTTTGTGATTATAAAGATTACATAGAGTATAAAATTAATATGCCCAAAGTAATAGAGTGAAAAATATATTTAAGTTTTGTTTTAGGCTATTTACCTAGCACTACAAGATTCTTTGTTTGGCAGAAAAAAAATGGTGAGGCTGATAGACTCTTAAGGTGGCCACATGTTGGTGTTCATACCCTTAGGCGATTTCCCCTCCTTGAGGGTAGGTAGGCATTGTAACTTGATTCTAACCAAAAAAATATAGTAACTATGACAGGTTGTACATGATTACATGTTAAGTTTGTAGCATTAATCTTGCTCAAATCTCTCCCTGCCTTGCTGATTTTGAGGAAGCAAGCATGCACTGTGGGGTATTTCACATGTCAAGGAGCTATGGGTATCTAGGGGATGAGGGTAGCCTCAGGCTGACAGCTAGCAAGGAACTGCTGCTCTCAGTCCAACAACTAGAAGAAAATTAATTTTCCCAAAAACCCAAGTAAACAGACAAGTGGAAACCTTCTCTAGTTGAACATCAAGATGATGATCTACCTTCAGTCCTTGGAAAAAATTGAATTGGTTTATGAAGGTGGCTTCTGGGATATTATTGATGATATATTTCTTAATATGGAAGGTAGTTACATGGGTCTGTTAACTCTTTAAAAATGCAATAGACTTTGTACATTTATGGCACGTACACTCTTCTTTGTAGATGTTAAACTCTAATAAAAAGCTTCCTTAGAAATATGAATTAGGATCACTTATTTTGAACAGATTTTGATAATTTATTATTTTAATTATATAAAATACTCATGAAAACTGATTATGGATCCAATTACTATAGGATACAATATCCTAATAGTATATATTTGATAATAGATCATCAAAGTGTGTGTGCATATATGTATGTATTCCTTTATCATTTTATTTATCCATTAACAAAAGGGTGTTTCTCTACTTTCCTGTTCATCATATCAAATCCAGGGGTACATAATATCAACATGACTTATTACAGGTAATGCCAACATGGATCACTTAATTAATGTGGTGCTTCTAAGGTTTTTCTACTTTAATTTTACTATGTTTTTCTTTCTATTCTTGGTTAGAATAGAGTAAGTTTAGCCAATATTGAAGGTGAAGATATTGAGTTCCATCTCCTGAAGAGAGTGGCATGAAGATTTTATATGGATATACAAAATCCACCATTATAATTTATAAATTTGAGGAAAGGTACTTTAAGATTTCTTCCTAATGTGTGATCCATTAATTTGAGTATTCATCAACAGATCTTGCCTGAAGTAATTATTATATTATTCTAGTGTGCTAAGGGTATTAATTTAACTGCTTTGTGATCAACGATGTATATGATATAAATTACATGGCATTTGTTTAAAAACTTATTTTTTCTAAGTATATTGGACATTTTGGAGGTTATTATCTCATACAATATTGAAAATATTTTCAAATATTACAATGAGAGTTATCTAGCATTAAAT